TTGTTGAGAGGATGGGGGAATTAGTCATCCATTGAATTAATTCATAAATCATCCACCCCACCTTAAAAAGTCCTTTAGGAGAAGCCATTTTGAGCCTGGCCGTTTATTGTTTACCAAATTAATTGAGCTCCATAGCCAAATGGCCTGTGTTTCCTTACCCCATAAATATATCTGACTTAGTCTTGATGTTTAGGGAACTATGGGATAAATTTGCTAAGTTTAGGGAATTTTTGTAGGAGCCATTTTTGGCACTGTTCCTATGCCCCAAATGGGGTAAGAGCAATCATTTTTTAGGAATTTGATACTTTCGAGGATTGCATTGTAGGCATGGATTCACTTTGAATAAATGAACTTTAAATTGATATTTTTCCTTGGTGAGGCCGAGATTAGAATGGGGTAATGTCAAGTGAAAATCCGAAAGGTGAAAAATTGATATAGCTAGACCTCTTGCCTTGCGAAAAAGAGAATGGGAGCCCCGGTCGAAAAGCGTAAGATGAGACTTGGGTATCTTTTGAAAGAAATGACGTTCTCGTGCGAACATGACAAGGAAAACTAAACCTAATTAAATGAACTTGGAGGCTATTGCAAAATTAGTTTTAGTCCTTCGCGTACTTCAAGTATACGTCAAAGCACAAATGTGCCGCGACGGTTTAGCTTAGTTGTACACCATGTCTACTCTTTGCATAGGTTTAGATGATAGTTCCGAATTTGTGGCCTACTGAACTCTTTAATCCTAAGAATAGCCCGAAATTCCCGAATGCATTAAGTCTTTGTTAGAATGTTCCAAACTCTCAAGAAAGGAACTATTTATCCTTACCATTCACCCTTCACCACCGTCTTCACAAGTCCTTCTGATCGGTAGCTAGTTTATTTGTGTTTGCTGTCATTACTTTAAGGATGTTGTGAATAATTTGTCAAATAGTTTAGCTTGAGTATAAAGATGTAGTTTAGGGAACAATTTTCTTGGTTTAGATTGTCTGTTTTGTGAATATCCCTTTAGCTACGTGTGCATGCTAACTGTTTTAATTCCGTGTGGTGATTATTGTAAGTCCCGTTGTTTAGTTTGCTTGAGGACAAGTAAAGGCTTAAGTGTGGGGGAATCTGATAAGTCCGTATTTAGACACGCATTTGATGCGTGTTAGGATCGGCTTTTGATGGTTTTCCTAGCTTTAAGGTGTTACAAGTCTCAATTTTAGCTCAAGTTATGTTTACTAGGCGTTGGTTCGAGTTTTGTGTCATTTGGAGTCACAATCAAGAATTTAGTGTCTGGCGCCGGCATTTGAGAAGCAATCGGGATGATTCAAGATGCACTCGAGAGTGGATTGAGATCTTTGGAGGTCATTGGGAGGTGTACGATGAAGATTTGATGGCAAAAGAGCTCTAGGATTGGCTACAAGATCAAAAGAAGATGAATGAAGCTTGAAAACGACGATCAGGATGACCTTTCGTCAATCGTTCAAGCATATCTCTTTGTAGAAGCATTCAAAGGACACTGTTCAAGTTACATATGAAAGCCAACTTCAATGGATACAAATCATATGAAGACATCATTTCAAGAATATGCGAGGAAGAAGGTAAAAACTGACGATGAAGTCAGATGATCCCTGTTGCGATTTCAGAATGAGACCTTTTACCATTTTAATCATATCTCTTTACTGGATGATTCAAATCCAATTCCGCAAGTTGAGGTGGGTAGAGGACTTCATTATCTAAAACTTTCATGAAGGAAGTATCTCCAAATTCAGAAAGGAAGACACGGTCGTGCTCAAGAAGGCACGCCGTGCCTGTAGTGTTACGACGTATCAAGTCCCTGGAATGGACAGGCATGCCGTGCCTGGCCCTTAGACAAGCTGTGCCTGGACCCGAAACGCGAATTTCGGCCTTGCTCCGCAGGAACGGTCGTGCCTGGCCCCTGGGCACGCCGTGCCTGATCCCGTTTTAGTCCCAATTCAACCCAAACTCACATGTTTTCTATAAATAAGGCCGCCTTTCTCCTATTTTAAGGTTACGAACATTACGGAGAGGCCTAGCGACGAATTTAACATCGTTTTTACGCTATTTTCTTCCAAGACTCTGGGATTATTTGTAAGTTCATCTTTTTAATTAATGACAATTTTTATATTCATCCCAATTCTGTTGATTCTTCAATTATGAATTGTGAGTAGTTTAATTAGGGATTTGGGGTTGATGAGGGGTTAATCATGATGTATGGCTAGATTCTTGTCGGTTTAATTACATGAATGCCGTTTAATTTGTGTTCGAATAATTTAACTGATATCTCTTGTAACCTAGAATCGCGACTAGAATTACAAATGCATGTAGAATAAATTAAGAGAGATCTAATTTGTTCTAGGACACATTCACACACACTTAATCGTTCGCTAAGAGATTAGTAGCGATTAAGGGGCCGTAAGCTCGCTCGTTTTGACAATAATTTAGGATCTTGTCGCATGAGAGATCAGCCTGGTTCCCTGAATTATTGTACTCTACGCCGCGAGAGCGGCAAGAACTTAGTAATGATTAGCTAGGCTCAATTAAATTAAATTCATGTAATTAGGCCTGTTCTGCCAGAAATCTAGTTACCCCGGAATCAATCCTTGTTCCCTTCGTCGTTAATTAGAAAGAAACCAAGCTTTATTTTTATTCGCTCATTCGCATTAGTTTAATTTTTATTCACCAATCAATCTCGCACAATCGCATTTATTTTATTTATTTCTTTTTAATCGCTGAATTTAGTTAATCTTTAATTCCCTTTTGTCCGTCCCTGTGGAGACGATACTCGTACTTTTCACCATTTTTCTACAACCATTTTAAATGCTAGAAAACTCACATCAGTCTCATTTTTAGCTCAAGTCATAGTTTATCGGCGTTGGTTTGAGTTTGGTATTTTTGCAGTCAAAATTGGGTAATTGGAGCCCGGCACCGGCGCTTGTGAAGCAATCGGGATGAGTCGGGATGCATTCGAGAGAGAATTGAGAGCTTTGGAGGTCACCGAGAGATTCATGATGAAAATTTCATGACAAAAGAGCTCTAGGAACGATCGCGGGACCCAACGATGACTTAAAGAGCAAGAAACCGAAGAAAATTGCAATTTATAGCCACGCACGTCCATGCGTACAGGGACGCACACCGTGCGTGCGTGGCAGTAGCTGCCTGGGCGACAGAGCTTTTGACGCACGCCATGTATAGGGGGTTACACGTCGTGCGTCTGGTGATAAGTTTCGAAGACCTCACTGCTAGCCATGCATGGCCGTGCGTGGCAAGATTTAGCGCAACGTTGTTCCGGACGCATGGAAGCCACGGACGCTGTGCGTGCCCCCTGCAGTCCCGATTTCGCTCGGATTCCTCTGTTTTCTATAAATAAGGCCTCTATTTCCCTGTTTGAGGTTTTCAGAATTTAGAGAGAGGCCTAGGGACGAGTTTTACGTTGTTTTTTCGCTTTTATGTTCAAGACCCTGAGATAATTTGTAAGTTCCTACTTTTTAATTAATGACAATTAATTATGTTCATCCCAATTCTGTTGATTCGCCAATTATGAGTTGTGAGTAGTTTAATTAGGGATTTGAGATTGATGAAGGGGTTAATTATGGTGTATGGCTAAATTCATGATGAATCAATTGCATGAATGTTATTTAATTTGTGTTTTAATGATTTAATTGATATCTCTTGTAACCTAGAACTGCAGCTACAATTATAATTGCTGGTATAATAAAGAAAAAACGACCCCAATATTAGTTGGGGGACTTCAATTGACAAAAATAAGTACTTTTGCTTTTTTATCCGTTGTGGTCCGTTCGTAGGTGGACAATTTTGCCCTTCATAATATAAACTGAATTACTACTAACGCACCCTTCTTCCTCCCGCTGTATTTCGTTTTCTTTATCTTCTACGGAACAAAAATCTACGAACCTTCAGAATTTCGTCCACTATGCATGCACTTGCGCTCCATGGCTCAAAGCATACTTTTAGTTCCTTCTCTTTTCAAGTAGTCTGTGATATCCCTCAACAATTGAATGGGTAACTGCCTTTCTAAGGCATTGTTTTTTCATTCATGCTCATTAATCTAATCTTATTTCCATCTAACTTGGAGTTTCTTATTTTTGCCAGGGGAGATTGTGGCTTCATGGTCCTTAAGTTTGCTGAAGTCGTTCAGATGGGTATGGATGTCAGTGTCATACGTCCAGAAAAAATAGCCGATTACCGAGCAAAGTGGGCACACGACCTCTACAATCATGGATCATCAAAGGGGAAGGTTATTGCTATTCATAAAGATGTTGTTTAAGTGATGCCTGCTATTTCATGGATTTTAACTAATTCTGTATTACTCCCATATAAGATGTACTCTTATGCTCTTTTCTGTAAACAACACACTTGTACTTTGTACGTACTCCATGGATTAGCTACTGTGTTGTTCTTATGGGAATATATTTGAATATATTTTTGGAATTACCTATTAAGTGCTTATTATATCATTTTACAGCTCCATATTTTCTGTAACTATTTTATCTTGCTGGCAGCCATGTGACTGAAGTACTTTTGTCACTGCCATGTACTAGTAATTCACAATTAATATTTTCTATCTAACATTTTTTCCATTCAATTACACTTTCACTTTTGTTATTACACTCTTCAATATTTCAAAAGCTTTTTGTGTCATTTAGAAATACCTTTCCATTTTTAACTAATACACAACAAATAAGTGACACATTTTCATTGCGCTTTGGTCACTGTCTTCATAATTTCTACTTGATTTTTGTTGTGAACATTTTTAATCAACTACGTATTTACTTTTATTTTTATTCCCTCTTATCTTCCAAAAACATTTTATGCCATTTAAATATACCACTTTCCAATATATAAGTCAATAAACAAACACTTTGAACTTGGTCACTGCACTTTAGTCATTGTCACTGTGATCCAATATGGATCTTTGTTATGACCACCCTAGCTTGATTCAGGTATGAATTCACTTCTGATTATATTCCCTTTTATTTTTCAGTCTTTTAAATACCATTTACCCAGACCACTTTCAAATCTTTAGTTTAAACAACAAACATTACTAGTTGGTCACTACAATTTAGTCACTTTATGTTTAATCTATAATTGGTCTTTGCTATCACTTTATGTTTAATCCATAACTATTTTACAACATAATTTTTAGATGAACATTATTTCTACTTTTGGGGAGGCACGTGGGAAATGCAATATTTCCTTAATAGTTTTGAGATTGAACTCTCTTCCAATGACAAACTTCTTAAGTGTTGGGAAGCATGCAAGAAACCCCTTGATCCCAGGCAGCAAATTCGTTTCGTTCCACATGAAGGCATCACTCAAAATCAAAGTGTGAAGCAAGTTAAGTGTTTGAGCCACACGTAAAAGCTCCTCTGGAAGTTTTGACTGCCTGTCTAAACAACTTCCCATCCTTTCAAAAAGCTACACAAAAACAAACGAAAAATGAAATCATCAATCAGTAAAACTCACAACTAGAAATTTTATGAATTATTTATCCCAAAAAATAAGATTACCGATACATCTATACGAAGTTTGCACAAGCTTGGGAATAACTGCAGCACATGAATGAATGTAAGAGAAATATCACTCTCTACAGGGTACAAAGTAGCATCATCGCACTCGAGTGGGGCTTCAAGAACCATCAAGTATTCCACATTTGGTAGTTGAGATGGATATAGTGGCAGCCCCCGTGTAATAAGAGGTCCAAAAAATTTCTAGGAAAGGAAAGATAAATGTTAGATCACTTGCTAAATTCATTTTAAATACCAATGTCAGGAAAAGGGGTAAGGCTAACATACCTCGATTGAGTAACCATCCAGAAGAAGAGTACGAACAGATTCCCAAGTCGAGTATTTAATGGGAAGATTGCCAATGGTTTGATGAAAGGAACAACCTTGAATTGCTAACGTACTAAGTTTCGGAGCAGTAACGTTAAAATGGAACAAGGTTTCATAACATGATACAAATGACAGATTTTCAAGCATGGGAGCATTAATTGTATGACTACTATCCTCAAAGTCAACATAATCAAAATAAAGTGAAGTGAAATTCGGTAACATGCAAGGGGCACTTGATGTGTCATAAGTCGATCCATAAAGACGCAACTTCCTTAATGTTTGGCAGGAAAAGATGCAGTTTGGCAGTAAGAATCCGTCATCTTTATCAAAATTGAGGTGAATTTCTTCAACACCCTTTTGTGTGACAAAAGTGAGCCATTGATAGATGTCAAGTACTTGTGACCCAAGTGAATCACGCTCATAGTTCTGAACTCCAAAGCAAAATTTGTGAATAGGTCCCTTGTGATGCATCAGCACTTTGTTGATTATAGACAAACTCATAGAGACGAGGATATCAACGTTAGTATTGTGATATATTGCTCTCTGGGTCCTTCTATCACTATGAGCATAGTACGCATAATACTTGTCTTTTATGTGATGAGAGAAGTCCTCATTAAAGTCCAGTGTTGTAAGACTAAACCAAGCATCTCTCCAGAGAGTAGACAACACAGCCAATCTAGCTGCTCGCAAAATGGGCATGCACCCCAAAATCTTGTCAAGTAAATCCAGCGGAAGCTCACTGAATCGGTCTCTCCTTTTCCTAGCCATAATCTAAGCAGCACGTATAGATGAAAATTAAAGAACAATAAAGTTAGGCATAACCCCAAGATGATTGAAATCAGGGATAGGGATTAGAACGAAATCTGATTCTGAAACAATATGTCAATCGTGAATATGGATATAGGGATCACGAAGAGATAAGAACAGCTGAACAGATATTGAATCCAAAATCAAACCCTGCTATATAGAAATTTACTATGGAAATCTTTTACGAAAATAATATTTAGGAAGCGAAATATCCAAAACTTAACTTTCAATTAAAAATTAAAATGATAAGTTAGTCCACTCACTATACATCAAAGATCGGTACTTTAGCAGAATTCTAAAAGTGATTCGAGTCACCCGAGCTTATGCTGGAGCCTGGAGGTGGAGAGTAAACCCAGGCCACAGAAACGGAAACGAAGAGCTCTCAACCCAAAGATGTGGTGAGAGAGATGAAGAATGCGTGTTGGTCCTGGTCCTGGTCTATGTTTAAAAAACGACCCGACCCGGCCGGGTTGACCCGGAACCCGGTGACCCGGACAAAAAAACCGGTTCGGTTTTTTCAAAACCCGGAAATGGTCAAAAACCGAAAAAACTCGGGTGACCCGGGAAAACCCGGTCAAGACCCGGACCCAAGAAACCCGAAAAACCCGGTAAAACCCAGTTTTTGGGTGTTTTTTACCAAAAAAAGTAATTTCTTTTTTATTTTTAATGCATTTTTTATACCAATAAAATTGCAATTTCAATACCTTAAAAAGAAAAACTACGTAATATATTTATATATTTATTTAAGAATGAACATCATGCCAAATTATAATATAGATGTATAATAAAAATATCATTATATATTTTTATAAGATCAAAATATACATTGAAATATTATAAGAGTGTATTAAATGCTTAATAAGTAGTATTGTTAGTTGATTATTATGAATAATAACTAATTTTTATTATAATTTTATATATAATTATATGTTTACTATTATTATATAGATGTATAATCATTGACCGGTTTTCCGGCGTTGACCGGGTTGACCCACCGGGTCCGGGTTGACCCGTGACCCAGTCATGTGGCCGGGTCACTCTCCGGTCCGGTTTTTACAACATAGGTCCTGGTCCTGGAGGGGCTATGAATAGCCTATGATTCGCGTACATTTTTCACAAGAATATTATTAAAATAAAATTTATTACCTCTGTCCCATTATGTTTGGGACAAAGGGGTATGACACAACTTTTAAGAAAAAAAGAAAAAGAAAAAGTGGAATAGATAAAGTGTGAATAAAGTAAGAATGAATTGTAACCACACAAATATTACCAAATATGGTATGAGACAAACATAATGAGACAGATGAAAAAGGTAAAACGGGACAAAGTTAGGGGGACGGAGAGAGTATTTACATAAATATGATTATTCAATACTATAACGTAGTGTTGTGGTAATTTGAGTTTAAAACTGGAATATGAATTATTATGATTTCATTATTACTCTAGTAATTAGTCATATTTTTGTAAATAATCTTTATTTTGGTCATATTTATGTAATTATTTCTTGTTATACATAAGCAATTAGGAGGTGTACACAAAAAGTGATGAATTAAGTTTTAAAATAGAAAATGAGATAATTGTATTGGCCTTCAAAATATACCACAAAAGTCAATTAGACTCTCCAACTTAGCAAGTTCATTTCAAGTCAATTTGTCACTCCGCTGACGTGGCTTTACACATGTCAATTTTTATAACTACAGAAGTCTGGTCTGATCCGGTCTGGTCTAATCTGTTTAAATTTGGTCTGATCTGTTTAAGTTTAGTCTGATCTGGTCTGAGATTGGAAATAGTCCAAGTAAATATGTGTTGTATACTCGTATGTGTATTTTATTATTGTCTTAGTCTGATTAGATCTGATATGATGAGTTCTATTCTATTGAAGTTTGGTCGGGAAATATTAGTCTAAAACCTAGTTCTAACACTTGAGTTAATTACAATCTAACACTATTATAATTGTGTATTATCATATGTCGGTTATTTCCGCAAAATTATCAATAAGTTGTTACTGCCTCCGTCTCATTTTATGTGTCCTACTTTTGTTTGACACAATTATTGATGAAGTAGTTTAAAAGGTAATATTTCTGGTTAGGATTTGAGTATAATAAAGTGAAATGTTGTAGATCACATATTTCTCTCAAAAAAAGAAACGTGACACTTATTTTGAGACAACATAGAAACAATGTAAGACAAGTAAAATGAGATGGGAGGGTATTATTTTTGTAGATTCTCTAAAATGAGATTAGTGAAGTTCAAAATTCAATTTTGCTAATATGTACGGTTGGAAAATATTGAGAAGCAACTTTGACTTTCTTAAAATACTTACAACATTTTATTAATATTATATTACTTCTAACGGGGAAGGTTCTTATGAGATTCTCCCTTAGAATAAAAACTTTTAATCTACATCTTTTGTTTGTATAATCTGGTTAATGACTTAATATTGACAATGTGACATTTTTGTAATTGTTTTGGAATAATCGTAAAACCATGAATTTAGGATAATTATGAATATGACCCCATGTGAATATTAATAAATGATTACTGATAGAGTATTTAGTTTTAGAGAGAAGAGAGATCTAGAGAGATAAAGTGACATGCATGACTTAATTTCCAACTTCCAAGTTCCAACCCTTTACAAGGCTCCCATAGGAAGTATTTATAGGAAAAAAGTGGGCTCGGCTTCCAGGCTTGGGCCTGGAAGGCCTAATTACAATAAAAAGGCCAATAAATGGCTAATAAATGGTATTTAATCTATTCTAAAGGATATACATGAATAAATATAATGTACAATGAAATAAATGCTATCTACTGAGCATATGCGGGCCGCTGTGCGGGCCCAATAGTTGTGAGACCCGGGGGTCCGAGTCTATATACTCTATCAGGAGTCCCCCACTCTCTGAGTCGAGAGTACTCGAGGCGAAAGAGAGTAGAACTGTGTGCTGATCTGTCGTCGTCTGGTGAGTAAACCGATGTCGTTGCCAAAGTGCCTCACCCGGATTCCCAAGCCGATGATCCGATCTCATTGGCGGGGAGCTATGTATATTTACTAGCTGACGTGGCAGCTGAATCTGTATGTGATGTGATGATGTCGTCAGCGGATGTGGCAAATGTTGCGAAAATTTTGAATTTGTGTTTTTTTTATTACGGAGGCTCTAAGTCCCCCGCTCTCCAGTCCTCCACTCCTTGAGGTGAATGTAGTGAGGTGAAGAGGAGTAGAATAGTGCATGTCTTCAATAGGGGGCCGAGGGTTGACACCATTTTATCCACAATGGGGAGATGCCTCGTTAAAAACCTCATTAGGCAAAACCTTGTGGGAAGAATCCTAATGAGGGAAAAAGAGTGCACCGGATGCCCCCAAAACGAAGCAAAAGGTGTGAGCCCTTCGGCCTAGAGATGGAGCTGCAGCGACATCCGTCTACTGATGGGATGGCCGAGGCCAATCTCTAGACGTGGGTAGCTCATCATGATCAGTAGTCCTAGTCGTCAAATAAAGACGACTAAGGGATGGGTCAAGCAACCGTCCATAGTATGATGTCCGGATCATCAAATAAAGATGACCAGAATATAAGGCCGATGGGCCGATATGAGCTCCACGTCATCAAATAAAGATGATTGGGAGGAGTGGCCGAGAGGCATATGGTAGAGATTGCATGAATTCCATGTCATCAAATAAAGATGACAGTGTGATATGTGGTCGATGGGCCTATATGATAGCTCCTCGCCATCAAATAAAGATGACGGGGTGACATGTGGCCGATGGGCCTATATGATATCTCCTCGTCATCAAATAAAGATGACAGGGTGACATGTGGCTGATGGGCCTATATGATAGATCCTCGTCATCAAATAAAGATGACAGGGTGACATGTGACCGATGGGCCTATAAATGAGCTTCACGTCACCAAATAAAGATGACAGAGCGATGTATGGCCGATGGTCCTGTAAATGAGCTTCTCGTCATCAAATAAAGATGACGGAGCGATATATGGCCGATGGGCTTGTAGATGAACTTTGGGCTCCTTTGTCTATTCAGCCGGAGACTATGAGATGTTCGCTAGATCTGAATATGAGAACAAGGTGTTGGACGCATGTCTGAATATGAGTACGAGGCATTGGACGCCTGTCTGAATATGAGGACGAGGCGTTTGACGCATGTCTATATACTCTATCAATTACAATAAGGGTTGTTTGGAATTAATTTTGCTTCTTTTTCTTTTTTGGAAGCAGAAGTAGAATCAATTTTTTAGAAACTGGTCTTCCCTAACTTTTGGAAAACTACTTTTAGGATCCACTTAGAGCACTCATTAGTATAATGTATGCTGATCCCATGTGAAGTAAAAGTTAGAGGGGGTGAATACACTTTTAAATCTTTGTGATTTTTCAACCATTTTTCCACTAAAAAAGTGAGTTCTAATATCTTTTGGGAGATATTGAAACATTCAGTAGAAGTTTGGACCTTGATGTGCGTTTTCTTGCACTTAAAAAGGTTGTAGAAAAGTGGTTGAAAGTACGAGTATCGTCTCCACAGGGACGGACAAAAGAGAATTAAAGATTAACTAAATTCAGCGATTAAAAAGAAATAAAATAAAATAAAATGCAATTGTGCGAGATTGATTGGTGAATTAAAATTAAACTAATGCGAATGAGCGGATAAAAATAAAGCTTGGTTTCTTTCTAATTAATGACGAAGGGAACAAGGATTGATTCCGGGGTAACCAGATTTCTGACAGAAAAAGCCTAATTACATGAATTTAATTTAATTGAGCCTAACTAATCATTACTAAGTTCTTACCGCTCTCGCGGCGTAGAGTACAATAACTTAGGGGACCAGGCTGATCTCTCATGCGACAAGATCCTAAATTATTGCCAAAACGAGCGAGCTTACGGCTCCTTAATCGCTACCAATCTCTTAGCGAACGATTAAGTGTGTGTGAAGGTGTCCTAGAACAAATTAGATCTCTCTTAATTCATTCTACATGCAATTATAATTCTAGCTGCAGTCTAGGTTACAAGAGCTATCAATTAAATCATTCAAACACAAATTAAACGACATTCATGCAATTAGACCAACAAGAATCTAGACATACATCATGATTAACCCCTTCATCAACCCCAAATCCCTAATTAAACTACTCACCATTCATAATTGAAGAATCAACAGAATTGGGATGAATAGAAATAATTGTCATTAATTAAAAAAAATAGAACTTACAAAATATCCCTTAATCTTGAAGAACAAGGCTTGAAAAGCTCTCAAAAATTGAAATAGGGTTTATATCTCTAAGCTCATCAATCAAAAACAGGCAAAACAGATGCCTATTTATAGAAAAACTCAAAATCTGGCCGAAAATCAGCCCACACGGTCGTCCGCACGCCGTGCGGGTCACCGCGCGGTCATGCGCGCATTTTT